TGGCAAGGGTGAAATAAAAAGCGCAGGAAAATAAACAAAGGAAGCGGCAGAGAGATTGAACAGGATGGAGCCAACATAACAAGACAGCATGAGCGCGCGAGGGGCGCATGGGGGTTAGGCGGCGCAGCGTGGGAAACCCGAGCGTCATTCATCTTGTCGCGGGGCCCTCAAGGAGAAGGTCTGCCGAGCACGTAACGTGGGGCATCAGCAGGCTCCGGATGTCGCGAGCGAGCAAGGCCATCCTCGTCGACGCGCTTCTTGAGGCGCCGCGCTGGGGGCGCCGCCGTGGCAGAAGACGTGCCCACATCACTGGGCTCAACTCACGCTGTCCATGCTCGCTGCACAGACCGTGGATGACACGTCCTGCGGGGGTTGCCTCTATGCGGTTACCCCCTTTTAAGGTACACTCGCATTTGGCTGAAACGTATACGTGGGAATGGATATAAGGAAGGCACACTGTTCTCTCTTCTTCTTTCCTTTTGTGCGTGTGTACAACGCTGAGATTCTTCTGAGCTTGAAAATTAATTGGATTCTGATAGAGTGATTATTTGAATAAATCAATAAAGTTATTTCATTCAATCAATGAATCAATCAATTTGAGAGAATGAAGTAAGTATAACTAGATATATCTACATCTTGCGTTGCCGGTTCGTTATGACTTATTTATTTTGCTGTCGCCCCCCACCCCCTCTATCCATTTATGTATGATAAACGTTTAGGTGAAAACACCTGTCACGTATTGCAGCATTTTTTTTGCCGCAATTATTCTTGCAACACTTGTATGATAAATACTTACTGTGCGTCTTCTGCAGTGGTTTTGGTGTAGGCAATCATATATTAGCCGAACTTTATCCACTTTTCTCTCAGTAAACAACAGTCCGGCTTCAAGTTTTAGAAATCGTGAGTTTCTTTACAGACTACTTGCTCAACTTACGCTGACTCTTATATGTCAATAGACTTCTGCGTAAATGTCACAAACCGTGCCGAATGTCTCCTGTGCAGCTCACAAGAAGTATACTGAACAGCTCATCTATAGGATTTTTACTTCCTTGATCTTGAATACTTTTCGATAAATGGTGACCTTGCACACTACAATTCGGGTCTACTATTTTAAGGTACAGTAGAATATTTAAGGCTCACTTCTCTACAATCTTACACATCTTGTCTAACGCCCTATTGTAGTAAGGTTATTTTGACGGTTTGAATTGAACTCACTTACGACACAAAACAGTGATCTTATGTTGCACTAGTGATACGACTGCAGTTACACTGTTGACTACGGAAAAAAATATGCAGACATATAATTCGAAACAGTCCAAGAGACGAAAGACTGGGTCAAGAAAAACCCGGATCCACAACAGCACTGTTATATTTATTCTTATTTTTCAGGTCTCTCGTTTCTTCCGCTGCTCATAATTCCACGTATGTCGTGCTAACTCGCCCAAGCAACCGCTTTAGAAATACATACACTAGCTGTGGATTACTTGTCCTTTCTAACTGCACCTAACTTTGCTCACGTCAGTGCCCGTGTATAGTAAGATGTAAGACAAGCAGGAGCGTCACTTCCTTTCACTGGCGCGAAACAGGTCAACCGGAGCTGCAATTTTCGTGACCCTGCTGCAAGGAGCGCTCTTGCCGACCGCGCTTTGAAAGCGGGGTGATGGCAGCTATCAGAGCGTGCCACCGAGCTTCACTTGCACGGCTGTCGGTTGCGCGCCGAGACAGGTGGCCGCGGTGAGAAGCCGACCTTCCCAGCAGCGGCAAGGGGCGCATTGTGCGCCAACCACGAGAGTGGCCCAAGGTCGGCCGGGAGAAATGCGTCGTCGCTGCGACCCTGATCCGACACGAAGTGATCGCCTGGGAAGGTTGCGGGCAGCAAGGACTGCCTCATGGCTCCGGCCGCCACGAGCCCGATGTGTACCCACATGCGCTGTGTCGTGAAGTAAATGCAGCGGTATGCCTAACGCGCATGCCACTTTACAGACATCACTGCCGCATTAGTGTGTATAGGTGTGACCTACATAAAGGCAAATGTAGGGGCGTCGTGTTTAATTGCTAGTCTTGCACTTTCTTCTAACTCGCGGCACGCTATTTGCATCAGCGATGTACATGATTCTGCGGGCGTTGAAGCGCACAGCCCATGTTCATGCATGAACGTGGCTTCCGGCCGAGCCAACTCTGTGGTCCATCCATTGCATCGCAAGGATGGCCACAACGAATGCATCATTTCGGGGGGTCAGAGTTCGTGACGCGAGCCAATGCCAAGCGGGCCCGTCTTCCTCGTCACGGCCTTGGTAAAGACAAGGACGCTTGCAGCTCTCGAGGTGAGAAAGATGCAAGCGCTTGAAGCGGAATGGACGCTCGCAGATGGAGGCGCACGCGACATAAAGTATACGCCGAGCCTTGAAGGCTAGCGGCTGTGACAAATTTGCCACGGCGAGCAGAAAAATAACCTGCGCAAATTTTTGGCTGAGTTGATTCGCAGTGTTCGCCCTAGCGACTGACATGGAAATTCGTACTCATACTCGCGAGACACTCAAGAAGTTACCCTGGCAGCTCTGAAGGGCAACAGACGCCACACTGTTTCAAAAAAGAGAACGTAAGTCACAACTTCGTGTCATCGAAGCCATTCATAATGGCCCATAACGCGCCCGCGGGGGAAGATAGCGGTGCTGTGTATACAACGTCTACATAAAGAAACAAAACTGCCGATGGCACAAAGAAGCACGCGCAGGACTTGGCTCCTTGCGAGGAGAACAGCAGCGGGCCAAAAGACGCTGACCTTGGAGCTGCCAGCGGTCCCACCCGTTCCCATGCGTAACGGTACATAAAGAGAGACCGTGCGAAGGAGAAGCGGACGGGCGTCTTTACATAACCCTGCGCGGGACGCACTTGGCTCGCCCCCGTTTGCTCCGGCTTTTCTCGACTCGCTCCCTCCGCCTTGGGAGCGCTGTCATTTGAGACTACGCGCAGTCGTCGAGGCGCCGAAGGGCAAAGAGGAAACGTGCACGAAGGGGGGCTACAATGGTGCGCGTCTTTATCTGTCGTCAAAGGGCTGCGCGGTCTGCAAAAAGGCGACGCACGAAAACGCCCGCTCTGACCTCGCAACTCATCCGGACGTATCGGCTGTCCTTTTGGCTCGCGCGCCAGATATGCCCCTCGCAGTTCCTGTCATGCCACCGTCGGTGCCGTCATATCGCTCAAGGAATCTCACGCGCCTCTTCCCTAACAAACAGCTGGTGCAGCGATATTTTGGTGGGACGGTATTTTGAACGATATGCTCGTTGCACGCATGATTACGGTTGGTGTCTTTGGGTCAGCATGAGAATGTCAACGCTGTGAATTATCAAACTGTAAACAGCAGAGAGAATATTGGTATTACACTTACTTTTAACAGTATTTGTCGTTTCCATCGTTACCAATATCCATCCAATTATTAGCAGTACAACAACATGTAGAAGGAAGCGAAGCCAATAGTTCAGGGAGACTTGCCTCGCCCACGTGTTTTCCCTGCACATTCTTTGCCGACAACGGGGCACGCCACGTCTGCATCGACGAAGCCGACGCCTGGCGGGGAGTGCCCTGCGAAGGTCTCGACGGATTTCGCGGAGTTTGAGATTCAGCGGGCGCGGCAACTTGATTCACGTTTGGCACGCGTTCAAAGGGCGCGCCGGCAGCGCAGTCCGAGACTTGTGTGGGCGTCGCATGGCCTCCGCCGCTGTTGACGTTGACGTGAGCAAACTAAACGCTATGTGGCTTTCCTACTTTCTCGAGGCGTTCGCACATGACCGCTCCGGGACGAAGCTGCGTGCGCACTACAAAGCCCTCGCACTTGGGACAGTGACGAGGTCAGACGGTGTCGTGGCACCGTGCGCGGGGCTCAGGAAGAGCACGCAACTCCGTCATTGGCGCATTTAAAATATCTGCTGGACGCTCACCCTCGGTCATCAAGAGTTCATACGCGTATAAAAGTAACTTGCCAGATCGCTGCGTATTCATTTCAGCGCAACGAAGTCGCGTAACGCGGTATTCTGGCTCTATAACCTCACCAGTCCATCGTTAAACCTTCGCATTGGAGCCGGCTCGGACTCGAAGTAAAACTTATCTGTTGCTTCACACGACCTTTTTAACACCTCCATGGCGGTCTGAAACGGTCATTACGAGTATACCGTGCAAGTCCAACGTCAAAACACTGGAGGAGGTCGATAACATTATTGATAGACTAGGATAAAGCCAGAAACATAAGAAACCTTTTCTCTCACAAGCAGCTGTTTGTATATAGCTGGTTGATGGCGCTTTGGTAAGGGTCTGTTCAGCTTCACAATCGACAAGCGTCTTCTCTTAAGAACCACCATGATAATATTTCTGCGTGAATTGTGTCCCTGCAGTCTTAGGCGATTCCCTCGGCTTGAAGCGCCTCAACAGCGTGATTGCCTCTGCTGTGCTAATTACGAGGCATACATAGCTTGTGGGGTCAACGATTAGATATATATATCGTTCGTGATTCCGAGGAACACGTACACGTGCTTGTCACAATGCACTGTTGACGTAAGCTGTGTGAGGGCATTTGATCGATATGTGGGGTTTAACGTCCCAAAACCACCGTATGATTATGAGAGACGCCGTAGTAGAGGGCTCCTGAAATTTCGACCACCTGGGGTTCTTTAACGTGCACCCAAATCTGAGCACACGGGCCTACAGCGTTTCTGCCTGCATTAGAAATGCAGCCGCCACAGCCGGGATTCGATCCCACGACCTGCGGGCCTGCAGCCGAGTTCCTTAGCCACTAGACCACCGTGGTGGGACATGAGGGCATTTACGAATGTATGCACCGTGTCGCTGACAGGTCGTGTCGCGAAGCGACCCTATACATACGTGTGAGAGCGCGAAACCAAATCGCAGGAGCAGGTCTGACTAAAAAAAAAAAAGGAGGAGAAGCACAGGACGGAAGCACGCTGGTATACTACCAGCAGCCGTAACAAAGTGAAAACTATTCATAGTTTGGTTCACTGCACCTTTATTGTCATCGAGTACCAACGAAACGCGTATAAGATGACGACGCACCTACCTGCAATCACGTTCCTGCGCTGGAGCTTTGGCATGCTTAAATGGTTTTTAAGCGTTTAGACTTATTCTTTTTTTTTCCTTTGGCTGACCACATTATCTTTGACGGCTGCTGGCTGAAACATTGCAGTGTGCCCGACAGGGAATGTGCGGTCACAGCACAGCCTGCAGCGTCGCCAACATCTCGCTGCGTGCAAGGCGTGGTATCGTGAACGCTGGCATGCACGCTCTCAGCATCGTTGGGCAGGATCTTAAAGAGGTGATGGGATGACTATAAGGCACGTCCATGCATTCCGCGCGCACAGCGACTCTCGCGCACGGCCCATGACTCGGTCTCGGATACCTAAGAAAAAAATAAAAGAACAGAGAGGGAGCAGACATGTGCCGTCATTGTTGAATAAAATAAATAAAGAAGAAAAAAAATATAAGCAGAATAAATACAAATACACACAGGCAGGAAGAGGTGCTTGCACACTGTGACAATATTTGCAAATATCAGCAGAAAAACGGCATTCATGGCCCAACGCTTCAAGGGTATACGCGGGTGGAATGCAAGCAAGCGTCGCAAACACTCTGCTATCCAGGTGCGGCAGCTGACAACTACGTAAGCAGATACTACGCGGACTACATCTCTCTACATCTTCTCCATTATGTTCAACGAGCCTGACATACGCACGAAGAAAGTGATATTCCTTTACTTTATGTACTGACCATTTCAATGCAGAGCGATGCTCTCTTGTATAATGTATTTCAGCCTCATAAAAACTGCCGTGCGCAGAGCACGAGACACAACTGTCAGTGATTTGCAAACAAAACAAAGAATAGCGGATATGCTCCATAGTCGTAACGCGCGCACACGCTCGCCCGAGCGCTCTTTAACATCTCTCGCACTGCAGGTGCACAGCTGCGTTCCTTTTGATCAAGCTGCTACATGCGTATGCTCGAGCACCATCTCTCACACGCACCAGACACACGCGCTGGTTTTCCTTTATACATGGCGAGGGGTATAGTTGTTGGAGCGCAGGCATTAGTTGCATGCTCGTGAGACCTCTTCCATATATAGCGATATAAGGCACAAAGGCTATACTGTGATGTATGACCGTCGGGGTGAAACTCCACGATGGTCCGCCTCTGCTTGGCGGAAGGACTTCGTCTTTTCGAAGTCGTCGGTTTATTGGCTGCCGGCGAGATACGCCGCATGGCGTTCCAGGTTGTAAGGATATATAAAGCGCGGCACCCGTGGAGAAAACACGAATATATCATCGGTGTTGGCGTAAAAGGGAAAACTCCCGCTATTAGATAGGCCAAAACAGGAATAAAATCCAATTTGCGTCTTACAGACATGCGCCTATAGAGCGCGTCAGGGCTATACACGTTCTGAAGGCTTGCCAGAGCTTATACTAGAGAACTTGACGATAGACGAATTATTTGCGCACAGAATGATACATGTATATACAATAACTATGCGGTTTAACGTGGCGTGCTTTTGGACGAATGCTTATTATATAAAACTACGCTGCTCGGCCTTAAATTTTGTCCTAAAAGCTATCTCTATCTATATAACTATTTGGTGCATGTAACTATACGTGCATAATATGTCGAGAATCGATTGAATGTCACGCATGATTTTCGCACTGCCTAAATAAGCCTTGTTTGTTTCTTCCTCTTTTTTCTGCAGTATATATATATATATATATATATATATATATATATATATATATTATATATATATATATATATATATATATATATATATATATATTAATATATATATATATATATATATATATATATATATATATATATATATATATATATATACTGTTAAAAAAAATAAAAGGTACACTATAATGCACGAGCTGTGCCCCGATGACTCGTGGTATAGGTTGCGATAGGTTGCGCATGCATTTTTTTCTACGTATTAAATCTTCGGAGCTTCGTAACACATCGCTTTTCTTAACTGAACTGCTGTATTTATGTTTCGCCATAGACACGCACGAGTGCTGGCTTGACTGGTATACGTTCACTTATGCCTTTTATTTACGTCAGCGGCACGCCGTCGGCAATGTAGTCGAGCGCTGAGAGCAGCGAGTAAACAATGGCCGAGACGTTGCCGCAGGAATCTGTGAGCTCCACTGGCGGCACGCGTAAACATTCCAAGACACTCCGGGTGCCAAACAACTGAGCCAGCGGCGGGAACGCTTTCTTTCTCCTTATATAGCATTCACGTCGGTACGTGCGCAGGAAGCCCGCCGGCGCGGGGAAGGAAGGCTCGCCAAAGCGGGGGTCCATGTTTGTGCAACGCGGCCGATTCACTCAGCGGGCAGCCAAGGACTGCTGGTCGCCCGAACACCTCCGCCATCGCTCGAAAGTGCCCGCATGCACGCAGCGCCATTTCAACTTCCGCCCGCGCGCGTGCCACGGAGTCGGCGACTCGCTCCTTTGTTCTGGGCTGCCGTAGTCATTTGTTAGACGCCCCGGACCAAGGCGCAGCACGTGCTTCGGTCGGGCTGTCCACGAGCCGGACCAAGGCCGGTCCGCGACGAGGCGCAAACCAGTCGGGCTCTCGTCGTTTTCCGCGGTTCTCTATGCCCGGGGCTGCGCGGAAGAGCTGCTTCGTACGTGCTTGCCGATCAGATGAGGTCGGAAGGAGCCCACCCATGCGATGGAAACGCGCGATCCTTCCCAAAGCCGCATACTGCGCGCGATTGAACGGTCCTCCTTTTCTTTTTCCTGTCCTACATTTCAGAAAGAGAAAGCTTCGGGTGGGCACGTGGAGCGGAAGGTGCGGGCTACGCACGAATTGCGCCATTAAACCTGCGCTTGCAACACACTTGCGGAGAATCGGGTGAAACGCTGTGCATAGACGACAAAATGGGTTGCGAAACAAAAAAAAATATCCTTCACATTCCTTATGTATAAGCAGCGTCGTTATACGTCGGGCTTCTATTGACTCGAGGGGCATGCATCGCGTTCAAAGTGCTTTCCAAATGTCGCGAACAGACTGCCGCTCTGGCGCCTGATATCAGCGGACTTTCACAATGGGCTGGCACGCGGAAAGATCACGGTTCGAATGGAAAGCGAAGCCGTGCATTCTTCGTTGTTCGTGAGAAGCGGACGCACACCTGCGCGCCACATAAGCGCAGCTGCCGAACCCACAGCACCGCTTGCGGCTCGTCGTCTCTGTACAGCGAGACGAGCGGGGAAAGCGAAAATCTGGCGACATCGTCGGCGCGATAAATAATGGCGGTGCACAATGGTGTATCTACGCAACGAAGAATCGACAGATTGCCGCATCGTGGGGCAGCGAACATGCCACTGTGCTTTCAGCCTCTGTTTTGCAAGCCCTTTTTTTGTTATTCCTTTTTTTTTCTTACACCTTTACTAGGCGCTTTTCATACCAACCTAATGTATAGTGCAAGTTGCAGAGTACGAACAGGGTGTGTTGCACAATGCATGACAACGTTGTTACTTGCTATAAAAGTCATGTGACACCCGCACAGAGACAACACAAAAGTTCGCCAAAGCGGGATACGAATGTTTAAAAATTCGGATGCATTTAGGTTGGAAACAAAAAAAAAAAGGAAAAAGCAAGCGTGATAGAGAAGTATGCCCGGTTTCCTCAGTATTTCTATGAAGTGATCGATAGGATGGAAGTAGCCAATCCTAAATTTAAAGCTGGACATCACTATACATTTACTTTTATAACGAAGCACACCCAGATGAAACGTGGGCGCCTATAGTGGCATAAGCAAGCCGATGTTTTGTTGCATACATATAGTCACAGCCACTGTGAGAGAGAAATATGCATCACCCCTCGAGAAAATGCGGTTAGAAGCGCGTAAGGAAGGTTTGCGCTTCCTATTCTACGTATACAAAGAGCTCAAACATTACAAGTGTGCACGGTATACGACACCAAGAAACTCGTAAAATTAAGCAAAACTGGCTCTCTTCTAGATCCTTCAAGCAAGTTGGCAAACAGATTCATCAGATTGTCGATCAGACTCTCGTCACATACAGGACTGATCAAGCATCGCACTTACAAGTACATAAATTGAAATCCCGCAGGAGGCACACTAAGTTGCGGTTCCGGTTAGACTTGCGTAGCGAACGAGAATCGGAGGTATACATGGACAAAACCGGGCATATAGAAAACCTTCCACAAAGTCACGCGCGTCGTTACTGCCCGCTTTTGACGGGAAGCAAACTAGTTGCGCTTTTCGTTAACACAAAGGGTGATTGCACAACTGACGCCCGAACTCCGTTCACTGTGCGCGCCGATCAATACAGAGCGAATCGCGTGGGAAAACAGTGACTAAAAAGGGAGGTCTACGCAGACGCTATCGGATTCTACCGCTTTAGCACACCTTCATGTGCCGGGGGAACTAAGGCGCCTGCGATGCACACTCTGTACCGACCCTCATTGGCCCCGGAGGAGGTCTTTTTGACAGCGCGAGATATGGGCTCTTTCGAGTGCGTCATCTGCTCGCACCTGCAGGCGGCGGGTAAGTTGGGCGTTGTCAGCAGGCGCCAAGTTTTGCAACGGCGGTTTGTTCTCGATTGTTCGCAAGGGGGCGGGGGGTGGGGGCGCAGGCATGGCAGTGAATTCTGCCGCCATTTTGTTCGTTTATCCTGCGAAGCTGTGATAATAGGAGAGAGGCTACCTACTGGCCGCCCACACCTCCACTGTCATTGATAAAACGGTTTGCCACGTTGGCAAGCGAACGGGATGTGTATGACTCCACCTTTCGCACTTTGCATTTCACTTCATGCTCGCTGCAATTTTAAGCAGCCGACATTCCCTGTCCATGCCGGCAGAAATGTAAACGCCGGCGCCGCATACCATGTTGGCGTATACGCCGCTCAGGATCGGTGGACATGCAACTATATCGTTAAACGTATCTGCGTTTACATTTAGAGAGAGATAAAGAGCTCAAAAATACAAGTGAGCTTACGCGCACTACCTTTAGGTTTTCTGAGAACGTATGGCTGCAACTCTTGATTAAATAGTCACCGTCGTGCCGAATGAACAACCACACGGAGAAATAACACACATAGACACCACGGGCGCCAATCAATCAAGACATGCTCCAACTAGCCCAACAGCGAGTTCTACTAGAGTATGGCTGCAAATTAATCCTTTACACCAAGCATCGTCAATGGAAGCTTGCATACTGCAGCCAACTACACAAGTGTAAGATAAGGTAAGTATCGTGTTCAAGTAACGACACATAATTGGCTCTTAATTGCATTGCGCACTAAGGGAATCTGCTGGTGCGACACGGTGCATCATGAACAGCGCACAGCCGGCAACTATCGCATCCGAAGAAGACGCCACAGTCA